GCCGGGCAGTGCCGAGAGCCCTGGGCCGGCTGGACCCAGCACCGCCAGGGGGCGCCAGGGAGGGAGGGAGGGGGGTGCCGCCCGCCGCCCCACCTGATGAAGTCGCTGTACTCCATCCAGAAGACGCCCTCACTGCTGCCGAGCGGCATCAACTCGCTACGCAGGTGTCCAGGCCAGTGGGGCCACTCGTCCGACCAGCTGCCGTTCCAGGAGAAGCGACCCCACGGGTTCCGAAGGCGCAGCAGCCTGCAGACCGCGCAGGTGAGCGGCAGCCCGGCCGGCCCGGCCCCGCCCCGCCCTCCCCACCCACCTGGAGCCCTGCACGTCCCGCACGTCCAGGATGGAGTAGGCGTGGCGTGGGCGCAGGCCCAGGCTCTCGTAGGCTGCGTCGTCCACCTTCATGTTGCCACCCCCGCAAGAGGCGCCCATGAGGAACCTGTGTGGGTGGGGCACCCCGCTGACTGGATGGTCCTCCCTGCCGGGGGTGTGGGGAGACCCCAGGGGCGCCCAGACCCTGCCCGAGGTGCGGGCCAGGCCTCTCCGACCAGTGAGGGGTGGGGTGCCCGCACGGAGGTCAGCTGCCCTCGGGCCGCCGCAGCCAGGCAGTGCCAGACGGGCCCCAGAGGCACCCAAGCTCCCCCGAGTCTCTCGGCACAGTCACCAGGGGCGCGGGGCAGGGCAGCTTCAGGGCAGGGGCACCGAGGCAGGGTCAGGTGGAGGGGACGGGTGGGTGGCCGAGCCCGCTGGGGGCCAGGGCGGTCCTCTGCCCGGCCCCCCCAGCGCGCGGGCTGCCCGTACCCAGCCTCCTTGGAACTCAGCATCTTGGCCCAGATGAGATCGGTGTCCACGGGGTCCTCGCGGGGGTTCGTGGAGCTGACCTGCAGCGCCAGGCTCTCGCAGGGGGCGCCGGTGAGCGTGGCCAGGCCTTCGATGGCGCGGCCGGCCTGGAGCGCGAAGTACGAGCCATGCAGCTTGGCCAGCGCCTTCTCGATGAGGGCCACCCACAGCTGCTTGCGCTGCGCCTGCGGAGCGAGGCGGGGTGAGCGGGGTGAGGCGCCCCGCCCCGCCCCCCCGCGGCGCCCACCTGCGAGAAGAGCAGGAAGCCGGCCTCGTCGCAGGGCAGCATGTCGTCCACCAGCACCGTGGTCCACGTGCCGTCCTTGCACAGCCGCACCTGGTAGGCGCCCTCCTCGCACAGGCTGCGAGTGACCATCACCCGCTCCACCAGGTCTGGCCGCTCTGCGAGCACCGCCAGCGCGCTCAGGAACCTGCAGGGGGCGCGTCAGCAGCGGG